ATCCTAAACTGATTGGAAAAAAAACAGCTAATGGTATATAGACTATGTAATAAAGGGTGCCAGAAACATACATTGATTAGAAATATATTGAAAGAGAGAAGCAGCCAGAAAAAAAAAATAGAAATGAAAAGCCATAATAAGCCACATCTTTCATTCTTGTGAAAAAAAAATTACAAATTATGAAGCACACATCTTGTCTCTGGATGATTCAATTTATCTACACTGAACAGATCATTGAATCACTCAGGACAACTGAAGGGCTGGGATATGACCATCTAATTAATAATGGTAGTTGAACTGAGTGGAGTGCAATTTGGGTGGAAATCATATGCATGATTTCAAAATTGAACGAGCATGCAGCGCAAGTTCGATTTGAAATCACAAGTATGATTTCAGACCAAAATTGCACGACACAAGGTTCAATTATCACTTTATTACATCCATTTTGAAATTGCCCAAATACAGGACTTGGTCAATTCAAATATTTTATTGATGCAGTACTGAGCCAGTTTTTAAATAGAAAGTGGAACTGGAAACACTTTTACATCTTATTTTGTATGCAAAACAAAAAGACTTTGACGTCATGTATCAAAAACTCAGTCAAGCATAAAATGATGAAATTTAGAGCAAAAAATGGTGCGATTCATGAATAAATCACAACAATTAGAGCCAATCAGATTACAGGGACCACAGGTGATTTCAAAATGGATGTAATAAAGTGAATTACAAACTTTTATCCTTTTTGCCACAAACTTCCCCCAGATTAAAAAAAAAAAACAACAACAACAAAAAACAATTTCAACATCAAACAACAACAAACATATGAAACATATGTATGAACTGCGGTTATGAAACGTATATGTGCATGATCCTTCGCAGTAAAGCACTATTTGAGCAATAGTGAAAATCAGACCTGAAAAAAAAAAAAAAAAAAAAAAAAAAAAAGGCCTGAAATTTTTTTTTTCAGGTCTGATTTTCACTATTGCTCAAATAGTGCTTTACTGCGAAGGATCATGCACATATACGTTTCATAACCGCAGTTCATACATATGTTTCATATGTTTGTTGTTGTTTGATTTATCTTCTACGGGTTTATGTCGAATTAATTTGATGGCCTGCTCCCAGTTGGCTTGTTAGCTCAATTGGTAGAGCGCTGCACTAGTATTGCAGAGGTCAGTGGTTCGAATCCCGTACAGGCCTGAAATTTTTTTTTTTTGTGATTTCCACTATTGCTCAAATAGTGCTTTACTGCGAAGGATCGTGCACATATATAAATTTCAACTTTGTTGATCTTGTCATAAGTTTTCCAACTGGTGTGTTGAAAACAAATCTTAAAAATATCACACAATTAACTGAAAAAACCTTCTTGTTTGTCTCTTTAAATAACCAACATTGAGAAAATGTGCATATAATTTTATAACAGTTTAAATATTGAATACATTACAATTACAATTAATGATCGCATTTATTTGACAGATAAGGGAGAGTGGGGGGGGAGGAGAGAATGTGGGATGGGTCAGTCTGCTAGCATTTTACAAACTGAGGGAACAAAAACATGTCCAAGTCAATGAGTCACTTGAATTTTACATATTGGAACCATGGAGAAAAAACATGGCCATTTAAGCTTATAAACTTAGCTGTCTGTCTTGAATGTTCTGTACTATTATTTTGCATCTATTTTCAGACTTAATGAGCTTCATTTTGCAATACAATATTGTACTTATGCTGTACTGTGCAACTGTATGTATTATTCATGATCCATTCTGTCTTAGAGGATCTTTCTACGGAAGACTCAATTATTCTTCTAAATGATGAAGCATCTGGTACCCAAAAAAATAGACTTCCTTAAAGTGAAAAAAATTAAACAACAGAATAACATGACAAAAAGTGTAAAAAAATTAAAAAATAATTTAATTTACGGGTACAGTTAGGAAAAATGCCTCAGTCAGAGGACAAAAAAAGGAACCATGCTACAGTTCAGGTTGGAAGCTAGGTCCTGACTATGGACAAGGCATTGTAACCAAAGAATAAGAAACTATAATTTTCTGTCAGTTCAAAATGATTGGAATGCTATTGAGGGTTCTGCAAGGTCAGGTCAAATTTTGAGAAATTCCCAGCAAAACCTGTAACCAATAAGTACACCAGGTTTCCAAACCAGGCACTTGCACTATATGTAGAGAATGTAATAATAAGATCTTAAATTGAATTCACCTGCATTGTAATGGCAAGAGCAAACTGCAGTCGGCTCAAAATGCATTTCCCTGATTTCTCCCTAAATGCCCGAACCACAACAAGGCTGGAGGGTGTCATACCCTTTTTAATATTGCCTTTACTGCAGGTACCTCAAAATTTCAATCAAGGGGAAACAATAAATCTCGGCAGAAATATACATTCATCTTTTAGTGTACAGACAAACAGCCTTTGGTTGACACTAATGACAACCTCAAATATTTTTGAACAAATTGTTATGATACATTGTCAACATGACATTGACCTTGTGGACATTGGAATGCTGTCAACAGAAGGTTTTATTACTTTCTCAAACAAATAAGCCTTTTATTGTCCTTAACACTTTAAGAAAGAGTGTTTTTGAATGCATATCTATCTGCAAGCTAGGTTTGCCTCCTATTAATGACAAATAGTAGTTTGAGCAAGAAATTTATTTCTGTCATTCCTATTAACAATAGTCCATATCAACTTAAAATCCTCTTTCCCAGAATCCTTCTCCCAATCAATACAATAAATTTTTGGGGGGGGGGGCACAGATCAAATGCACTTTACTAATCTTTGATTACTACTAGTAACAATAGTCCATATCAACTTAATTGGATTTAGAGAAAATTTTTGGACTTTCCAGTGGACCAAAGCCATCCCATAACCTAGCTGTTTTGTTTCTTATTAAATTCCCTCATCCAACCCAATTTTTGGGAAATGAAAAAACATTGGTGATAAAATGTCTCAGCTGTTTGAGCAGCAAATTTTTAGAGTGAACTAGGTTTACATTCTTGATGTTTTTCAACAGCAGGTGATTAATACTTAATTTTGAAGAGAAACCGTTTGCACTTGGTACTATAGAGGAAGAGTTTGGGTAAAGAAACCAAATAGAAAGGGAATGTGCACATATGGGATTTCCCTCAACTCGCGCTATTTTTGCGAAATTACTTCTTTTTTGTTACCCTTCTTCCTTTATTAGACCCAACCAACTGACAACATGCTTTGATGAAAGAGAAGGTGATGTGAAACATTTATCTGGATGCCCAAAGAGGACTCTTAATATCATCAAGGTAACATCAGGCTGATTGCAGCTCAACTGTAATAAAAAAAAAAACAATGCCTGGCCTCCATGAATCGATTTTGGTACCAATTAATCGACGGGCAAGATCCCTTTTTCCACTGTTGATTTCTCTGTAAGTTCAGACAGCAAAGGTCACAGTTGCGTCTTGGCCGACTGCCACATTATTGTAGGACGAAACCCGACTCCAGCAGCGCGTCCTTTACCTACTACATCATTCAATATCAATTCTTGGAAGAAATCGCTCATGTCATAGGAATTGTTACCTTTTTCTGTTTGATAAATGTTAAGATAAGTAAAAAAATATATATATTTTCCGGGAAGAACCTGAGCATCTGAGAATCATCCAATTTTAAAACGAAAACTTATAATGTATTTTGGGCACAAACAATAATCTGATAGCTTGCTGTGAACTTCGCTTTAGCTGAAAAACGCAAAGGGTAAAAACGCTAGGGTATGACAACTTCGCCACTATTTTGAATTAAAAAAGATGCGATCGTCCAATCTACAGACATGTAATAGATCCTCAGCAAAACTAAGCAGAGCAGACAAGGAAATTGTCGAACGAACGGAAATCCGATTAAAACTGACTCGCACTTCTTCTTTGGTGCGTGCGACAAGTTGCATGTCTTCAATAAAAATGTTCATTGATGCTTCGGGTCAGTTCGTCTCTTTCAAATCCTATTGTCAAAGACTTAATCACAGAATTACCAAATTAAAACCACTCTAAAGCGCAAAGCCTCAGCGAGCGATCCTAACTTAGAACGTATTGTTAGCGTTCTTTTATTAGGTAGTTGTTGAATTCATTTACGAGAGATTACGCTCATATACATAGCTACAAGTCATAAAGATCTACGACATCCGCTCCCTCTCTCTCTATACACTATAAAAATACACCTTACCTTATTGATACAATGACTCTCATGTAATAAGCTTTACAAACACGTTCTTTCTGCGAACATTAATTCAAAACTCCCGTTGATGATGCGCAACGTGGGAAACTGATACGATATGTGTGAATCTCTTGACGTCGATGTATTTAGAGCCCGGGGAATGTCAATCAGTTACAATCACTAGAGGAGGTCACGTCATCATGTCCAAACAAAATAATTAGAGATCAGCTTTAATTGGATCTTTTTTTTTTTTGCGAACAGGACAGTGGTAAAAGAAGATGACCGTATGACTCGAATCTTTAGGTTCACTTACTTGTAAGGAGACAGTCAAATTAGATGACCAGAGAGTAAAAGGATAGACGAGGAGAGTCATTGAAGTGCATGGTCACCGTTGACCAAGTTAATACTGTTGGTTACCCTAAACTCTCCCTCAAGATCGGCAGGAGCTGGGCCAACGCAAGATGATTAGACAAGTAACAATGACTCACCGCTTTTATTGTTTCATTGCATGGGGGCTCTTGTCGTCAAACGATTTCACAAGTCGAAAAGGGGATGATCTTTTCACCGAGACAAGGAAACCAAAAAAACAAATACTTCACCAATCCCTTTTTAAGCTTCCCTTATTTTCTTTCCTCTCTAAATGTTTCCTTCTTTGTCTAAAATGGCCCTAGCGACGATTTTTGGCAAGCCGGTCATTAGTACATCGCCGTTTAAGGGATTTGTTTAAAAAGTTCTAAAATTTTGATTACTGAAAACTTGTCACGGTAAGAAAAAGCTCTCAACAGCAGCAAGAACGCAACTATTCGGCAGCAAAATAATTGTAACCAAATTATGCGTTTAATGTAATCTTTGCAAACTCTGTACAATCGATGCTAATTACAAAATCCTAAAGAACTCTAGATGCCGCTTTACTGTTGTAAGAAATAACTGCACGTGGACTCTTGAGCGAATTTCGTTTGTACTTTCCGCAGCTATTTCCTTGCACCAAACCCGATAGCGTTAAGTACGCGTTTAGGAAGCTGTAAAAATCTCAAGACTGCCACGCATGCTCTTGTTGACAAGTCAACAACCGCTGACACAGCTCATCAAAATGTCTCATTCATTTTAAAAGCTATATCAGGTTTAAAAAACAAATAACGACTCATTTGTCGGTTTATGAAACGTGGTAATTTCTTTAACTCTATGATTGTATTTGTTTGATATCCTGCAGCTAAAGGTAAGTGTCAATGCTGTGTTCCTTTATTGCCATTTTCCCTGCAGTTTCTTCCTTCTCATTCGGAAAATCTTTGTCAGAATGTTGTTGTTTGTGGGTGATAGCATCAAAGTGTTCTTTGTTTGTTGTTTGTTTTTGTTCTTGTTGCTGTTCTAAGTTCTTGTTTCGATTGCAATCCAATTGTTGATGATTAATATCTTGGGGGGGAGGACATTGTTTCTGGTTTTCCTTGTCGCTGCGATCACCACGCTGTTCCTTGTCCACATTGGACGGTCCAGTCCAAGGGCTGGTCGATCTCGTTCCTGATAAGCTGAAAAGGCGTTTTACCCGGTTGGACGCTCGATGTGCATTTTTCTTAATCTAAACAAACAGAGACGTTTTATTACGGCATGATGAACATTTCATCAGTAAGAGATACATTATGTGAATTGCAACGCATGATACAAAAAAAGTAAGTCCTCTTTCTCTATTTATTTAATGATAATTACCTCGTCATCAAACCAGTATTGAGCTATCAGGAAATAGAGCCCCTTAAACAAAAAAATAGAGTAAAAACATGAGTTAAAAACAACATTTTCTGAGAGTCTGGAGTTGTTCGGTAGGTTCTGAAGTACAGTCTTCCATGATATATATCAAAAACTTACAACCCTGATTCTGGGTCATATATTAATAACTGCTGCAAGTCAAAGCATAAACAAGCTTTGTCGTATACAAAAATCTGTTTTTATTATGTTTCCGACGTGTAATGTTTCAAACTACTCATTTGCCTGCAAAGAATTAGAAATATTTTTTCGTACCTGCATTGAGTTTAAAACGGCAAAGAGATATTGGAATACAAGAGAAGTGTTGTGTATGGAGATGAATCCGAGCAGCCATGTCAAACCCAACAGCGGAGCTAGAATCACCAATGTCTTAAAAGCCGCTCTTAAGAAAGAAAAAAATTAGTAAGACAAACGTAAAAAAAGAAAAACGCAGAGACTTCAACTTCCCAAGAGGACCAAGAGATGTGAAAACACATCAGTCTTTCGTGTCACTACTAGCTCATGGAAAAATATGCTGTTCATTATAATCCCATCTCTTTCTAAATTACGCGTTCCATACTGAAGAACATGAATCAAAGACCTTATTTATTGATAAAAAGGAAGTTGAAGTGATCACTCCTGTTTTCTTTAAACAGGGTGGCTACATGCCTACCTACCTCATTTCGAGCTCTACACCTGATTTTTTCGGGGATCTTTCCTTGTAGCGAGCCTTCTGAACTACAGTTTTTATTGCTACAATAAGCGCAATCACGTTTACCTGCAATCGTAATGAAACATCACATTTCCAGGAAGTTTGAAGATTATTTAACCGACAAGAAAGGTGGAGATCAAAAGAAGATAATCTCGTTCTCTAAAATGCGAGTATTGTCTTCATCAGTTTTCGGTTCCTGTAGCAAAGGTATCCAAATCGCATTGTTCAGATTTAGAAATCCCTTTAAAATAAACCACTGCACCGACAAAACTGCTTTTGACAAACCAAACCACACCCCCACCCCACCTCTCAAACACTAAAACATTGACATGCATGGTAAACATTGACATGGGGAAATAACAATATTTGACACATGTCAAATATTTTGCCCCGGCAATGCAATATGATGCATGGAGGCCGGCTAGTGTTTTCGGACAACTTATTTTAAGGAAAAAAATCCATGTTTTATCCTGCGAGCCATTAGTGATTGGAGAGTATCAACTTCCATGGCGTTTCAAAATTAATTTGTATTAGAAAAAAAATCACGTCATTGAGCGTAATCTCCAGCATTCCTTCTCTTTGTCTTTAAGTTGTTTTCGACGTCTATGCCAAAATCCACTTCGTGTACTCACCCAGCAGTACTGATGTTCTGGAAGAATTTTTGTTCGGTGAGGGATGGAGAACATCGTATCTGATACATTTAGCTCGCATCATGTCGGTAGTACGGTCACGTGTGGTTCGTGACAACAGAAAAAGTGCCTCACTTACCAATAATATAAGTGCCACTGGTCCAGCAAATGACCATATGACTTGATGAGAAATCCAACAACTGTAAACAAACCGTGAAATGCAAAAAAATCAATCCCGTCTCTGTTTCTCTTATCTCCATTTCATTTTGCGCTAGACAGTGACAGACTCTTTCCTCTTGGCGCCAGTGAGTGACAAAGAGGCAGTACGCGTTTTGTGCCAAGAGAACATGTTTACTTGTTTTGGATCGCTCGGCTTTATTAAAACTGACTTCATTATTCAGACAATAGCTAGGAAAACGGATCAATTTCGCTTAATCCAAGAATTCTCCTAGAGGACGCTTTATCGTACATAGGTTTGGTCGTCTGAAACTATAGGGAAAAATTTTTCGAGTTCTTTGTTTACAACTTATCTATATTTGTCCTGCCTATCCTGTCCTCGACTGTTATTTTTTTCTACCTAAGTGAACCACCACGTAATGATTTAAAAATTCCAACTTACAAGTCATCCCTCACATATTGGTGGCGAGAGATGCTTGCTGTCACCGCTACAGCGATAGCGGGTGCACCTAGTAGGCAAGGAATATTCATTAATGCAGAATTTCATTAACACTTTAATCCCTGAGAGTAATTAGCATGTACTTTCTCCTTACAATATCACCCCTGCATCAAGAATTAAGATCACGAAGAAGCTCATCATTGTTAGACAAATTTTCCTTGTCAGCATCTTGGGAAATGTATAGAGAACAGCATGGAGAAGGTGAATACTGATGTTGGAACGAAATGGGTTAAGTAATTTTCTTTTGGCTGATTATGACCAAAATACTTTCAGTCACACTGTCCTTACTTGACGATCACTATGCTGTCAGTACTCAGTATGAGATCCAAAAATAAATAACGCTTTCATCACCTGAAGGCTTATGCCCCCCGTCAATCCACCCACTCACAACCAATTATTCTTTCATCTTTGCTGAAAGAGCCATCCCCCAGGTATATCAGATTGCTAAGTAAAATGATCTAATTCTTGACCTGTAGGCAGATGCACTTAACAATCTTACTTAATTCAAGATAATCTGGATTAAAAATTTAATCTTTTATGCCAAAAATACGCCAAATATACGCCTACCCCAAGCAAAGAGGAAATAAGTTCTCAATTTGCTGGTGACTCGGAAGACCTTCACCATACCGCGGAGAAGATTGATTCCCTCCGCCATCATCCAGCAAAACGCCGCCAGTTGAAAATAATGGAGAAGAACGGCAAAAGCGAAACAAGCAGCCTATACATAAAACAAACAATATAGAATAACAAGTGAGCATAGGGTACGCCCACGGCTTGAAGACAAATACTGACATCAAAACATTAGGCACCAGAACTCGATATTAGCAACTGATACCAGGTTACGTTTCCGCTTTCGAAAATTAATACTGACGGTAAATATGAATTTAACGCTTTTAAACTTACTTTTATTCGAGCTCCAGGATAGGCGATAAGAAAAACGAAAATTGCGAAAGCCTCAGCAGCGGCTAGGTTCATGTGGATGTTTAAAGTCTCTGATCGCCTTCTGAATACAGATAAAATACAGATAAAATACAGATGATAAAATACAGATAAAATTACAAGCACTGTAGTGTTGAGAGGATTAGCGGTTGTTATAGGATTGAGCTGAGTATCATTAGGGAGTAAATCGCGTTTGAGCGCCAAGATTACACGGCTCGAGTTGGGACAAATTTAATCTTATTACTGGTAAATAACAAATCGGATATGAATATGTTGAGTGCATTTTTACGACTTTTACACGGTATTGGTAATTAGGTTTAATACTAAATATTTAGAGGAAGTAGAATCTGTTAACTTCGTTCAATTCTGTTTCCCATTCGGAACTGGTCAACCTACACATGAAAAAAGTTTTTCAACCTTGATTTTGACTGATTAGAGTGCGCTAGATATTTCTGAATCCCGCTGACTAATCAGTATCTGTTGTTTTAGTTATTGACTGTTGAACTGTCGCGCCCATGAGAGACAGCTTCCTGTTGGATGGGTCACATTTGATAGTTCTAATGACAGAGTTGCATAATCCAATAAAATGAAAGCAGTAAATAGTGCTGGCTCAATCGACTCAGCGTGCATCTTATGTTCCTATCCAGATAATCACTGATTCAAATTCAACGGATGTCGTATATTCGAGGGTCAGAACGCTTTCTCGACAACAGAGTGAATTTTTAAGTAACACGTAATAGGCTTAATTGAAAATTGAACAATACCTTAGGAAGAAAAAGGCAAACAGCAAGATGATATAACAAACTAAAGCGATCAGACATCCCACAATGGACACAATGGACAAGATAGTCTTGTGCTTTTCTGAAATAGCATCACCTTCCTACAAAAGAGAGGAGATATTTAACTCTTTAATTCTAATTCTTCCTATTTCTTTCTACATAATGATAAGGGCTTTGATTAATCAGGTCAAGAGAGGGTCTATATGGGGTTAACCGATAGCCGTAAACGGCCAAAATATTCAGCCGATAGGGATAAAAACTGACAAATTTTAACCGATTTTAAGAGCACTTCTTTTAGGAGCAAAGGAATATTCTGAACTCACGACATCCAGAATATTTTGAATCAATATACTTCGATAAGGTTTGGAAAGGATCGATGGAGTTTTTTGTTTCCAAAGTACAGTAATGCTCGTAAGGGAGGAATACCAGTTTTTGTGAATAATTCCTATCTAAGAAGGGCATCCAAGGATTGAGGCAAGAAAAATAGTCAGCGGTCTACGTATACAACATACATAAGCGCCATGAACATCCATAAGAACAGCAAAGCTTGTCATGTGATAACAGTGGCACACTGTGTGTGAGGAGCTGACCTCATAAACAACGCACCCTGATGAAGACCAAGTTGGAAGGCTGAAATCAAATCAAATCAACAAAATTCGATTTAAAATTATTGATTAATTTCAATCAGTGTTGTCAAGTTCTACTTTTTTAATGATTTAAAACATCTTTTAAAATGTCCCTAAATCGCTGAAGGCTTACATGGACGCACATCGGAATCAAACATTTCTGCAGATTAACAAACATATCTTAGTCGAATTAAAAAACAGAGACACCACTGTTTTGATTTTATTCATCTCTTTCATGGGTTTAGCGCTACAATTGACAAACTGGTTCAGGTCATGTATGCTTCGACTAAAGTGTCCTTTATACTTGTTACTTCCCGCATGATAAGAATCTGTTGTTGTCTATTTCATTTATTTCACAAAATGACCCATGTGGTGACAGGATGGTCTGTATGCACAGTAACTCAATAAACACTTACTCAGTGGTAAGATCGAGATATACACACGTCCGTAAGCTCTCGTTATTCACCTGGCATAGGGAATTAGGAAAAGACATAAGGATGGAGAAATGTGTTTAATTGTAAAAGAGTGTTTGTGACACTACCCTTAGGTGCCATAAGGTGAAAGTGGATATCATAAAATCTGCATAGATCGAGTAAGACAGGCCGCGGTAATCTCTAAATTGATACGGGCCTTACGGTCACATTCCAATTCCTTGTTTTGCCAAATGATAGATTGACTCAAATTTTGTTATCGCTCAGAGATTAAACAAGACTTCTTACAGGTATTATAAGCGATTAGTGAGATGTCGTTGGGACTTTTTGAAAACAATCAGCTGTTATGCTTTCACGTTGACGAATCCCGGTTTTTTTGGGTGCTTAATAAAAAAGAGAGAGGATCGCAATAAAGAGCAGTGGAACCTGTTTCTTAATTTTCTTCTCTTCATTCCTATCGGGGCTCCGTCATTCAAAACCCCCTCAGAAAATCCCGCTAAACGGGCTGTGTTGAATTCAGTACCTCAGAAACAGCTGACAGATTTATTACAACCGGCTGACTCAAATTATTAAATTTACTCCCATTGTTGAAAAGTATTGTGCTTGACATAATTCCTGAGTCCAGGACACTGTTGGAAGACAACAAATATATGAATAAGCAGATGAGTGGCCTTCAGGCTCACAAAGAACGGTAAAACTGGCATTAGTTTAATTAGTTTTGCACCCAGGATTACCTTAAGCATTTGAAATTCCCATGAGAAACTTTTGGCGTTTCCCATAATAAAATAACGTAGATGGAACATGTGTTCTGATTGGTGAATAAGCTCACGTATATTAGAAAGGTACATCCATGGGTATCTTGTGAAAGCAATGGCGTGTCAATAGTTTTCTGTGCCAAATGGACATGGTTTATCGAAATTCTCAAGCTTACATCGGTTCATCTACAACCCATGGTATCTTTGCTCTTGAATTTACCATAAACCATGAATAGGCAAACGCAGAGCTTTTTCATAGCAAAATTTGATCAAAACAAGCGGACAGAAATATTAAATAAGGGCATACTTCTCATCAACACGATGCCTGTAAGGAAATCCCAAATAGAAAAGTGGAAGGTTGATGAGGGAGAGGAAGACCAGGCGTTGAGTAAAAAGATGACATTAAGGTGTGTCACGGTCCCAGGACAGAAAAAGATGGAGAATCATATGGTGGCAACCCCTGGGGGTGGGGAAACGGTTCGTGAGTAACCATTTCCCCAAAAACCTTTTTAACAATGGTGATCATTTAATCAGCAAGCAAGCATTTCGTCTTTGAATGTATCAACTTACTTGTGTGCTTGAGGATCCGCTGTTACGCTGATATTGGAAAGTAGTAGACTGACTATAGACACTCCATCTAAACAGATGGGCTGAATGAGTTATTGTCATTAACGACAATTTTGACACAGCAGCTTAAAGAATGAGGAGTTAACATAGAGTACCTTGATCCTGTGCTCTCCATATCAGAGACGATGGCAAGTTGATGTTATTGGTCTGTTCAGCATCTTTTGGAAAAGATACGGCTTCCGCACTGTTTTACGATGACACAGCGGGTAACATGTCCACTGCGAGTACTAAGAGACAAATAATAATAATGTTTATTTCTTATATTGCGCAGTCTAACATGTAATAAAAGATATGATCGAGTGGCAGGGAAAGAGAAAAATAAATGTTAATCAACTCTGACTTTGAATTTACTGAGGGATTTATTGGGCTGAAAATATTGCGTTTTGATACATTTCAAACCCATCTTATAGATAATGTCCGCATCTTTCGTTTTAAAGAATCTGAAGTTATACTGGTTGGTCATCCTCACTACTACTTAGCTTCAGGCTGCACTTTCATCGCTGTGTAGCCTTTTTTAGGTGTCGGTTTCACTGATTTGATCTTTCGCCCAACCATTCTGTTAACCATTATTATACAAGAGGTTTGGGCAATCTTAAAATTTTCCAGGGTCAAAAAGTGACACTGAGTCAACAAACACAAATAGTTTGTTCGCCTACGGAAGCGTCAGTAGTTGGCTTAAACTGAGTCACGTTCAGAGAAACAACTACCCTTCAACTGTTTTTCAATCAAAACCAAAACTCGATCTTTTAAATCTTACGTGGTTAAATTTTGTTTGTATGAATGAGCCTTAATATAACTCCATGTTTTTCTTTTATAACATCTTTCTTGTATTATTATCGGCTAGACTCCTCTCGGCCAGCTTGATTAAGAAAGCTATCTTACCCTCCATGTATAAGCTTGAAGGACGTTATTTTCAGGCTCACTTAACAGAACTCAAACATGAAAGCACTCAGTCAGTTTTGACTTGATGCCACTGAGCCCCCCCCCTCCCCTCTCCTTCCTCCCTCACCCATGGAGGCGAAGACACCGACTCACCCAAAGATTCAGTATTTATCTGGATACTTTTCGGCTCAGTTATGCCGCCTTCCCCTCTCATTAATCCTTGAACCAATACCTCTCCTATTTTTTCACCCTTTTGAACGACTTGTGAAATTTGATCTAAGGGCTGAAACAAATAACACAGTTACGACGTTTAATAGGAGGTGTCTTAAGCGTAAAGAGTATAAAAGCTGTTAGATAGTATCATTTTTTCCAATCACCGCATATATCGTTTTGAATATGGATTGAAATTACCAAAGATGGTTGTGCCATTCCTACAGGATTCATTATACTGTCCAGATCTGTTCCTAATTCCTACAAAGAAAATAAGATATCCAAGAGATTAAGGCAAGCATTTTACTCACAGGCCTGAGTCCCATTACAATGACCGCGGCGACAAAACCGCTTCACCATGAAGTGTACCTTCATAATTCTTCCAGCAGTTGATTGATTCAAAGATGCACCCTCTAATGATTTCAGTGTTTCATCCAACTTCTTTAAGGCGTCTTCCACCTAATGAAAAGGTCCAGTAAGAGTGGGAGTTGACAAGTCGAAGTTCGTGTAAACCTAAAGTAATCAGACAACTTTGAAAAGCGGTTAAGTAACTGAATTGTCCATGTTTTTTAAACGAAGACCGTTTTTCTAGGGCGACAGGAGGAGAGACCGATATCAACGACTCAAATTGCTGAGGAGATAAACTAACAAGCGCAGTTCTACACGACACGTTCATATTTCCCAACCCTTATACAAACCGTTTTAAATCATAAGTGAAATATAAGATAAGTTACCTTCAATTGCAACGTTTCTTTCCCTGTTGAAGGTTCCGTAGCCTTTGTCGGTGACGGAGTGCTGCTCTGAGTGTGCTCTGTAATGACGTTTAGGAGAAGTAGTTGCTTGGAACGCACTAGATACCAACAATACAGTGACAATGGAAAAGGCAAAGTTTCTGTAACAAAAGGATCTTACCGGGTAATGACTCTTTTGTATTTCTGTCCCCAATCATCGGCAAAGGGTATTCTGTAATGACAACAGTTTTATTCTTCAAAAATCCCACTGGTTGATGCTGTTTTTGATATTAAATCATATGCTGACTGTCCTCAGAGGAGAGTTATTTTTTTATGTGAACTGAGTCAGTATTATCACAACCAGAGTGAATGAGGTTTTTCTGTTTCGCGACTAGTATCTGATTCGGAACGCTAAACTCCAGAATTTGTGTGCAAAGGTTATCAGTCTTATCAACTTGGTAATCTTATTTGTTATCCATTATGCCGTTTCGTCCCTCTTGAGGAATTTTTATCGAACTTTTTACATACCTTCCACTTTCTTAAGCCGTTTGCAGATGAATAGTCTTTTTGTTTTACAGTAGTCAATCTCCCACTGATGTACGTGATTGTAGTAAGCGCAGCGTCGCCCTGTCTCATTTTTCGATTTGTCATCGTGGCTGGAGGGATCCTGGTTGCGGTACCAGTTTGTGTAGTTATAGGTCTGTTTGTCCACCCAACCTATTACATTACTATTATATTTTCTACGAAGTCCTATAAAGAACGTCTCCTTGGGTCGAGGCTTTGTTTTATTGATAAGATGATTTAAGAAAGTGTTTTCTTTTTCACTTAAAACACTTGTGAGAGAGGCGTTCCGTTTCTCGCACCATTTCAAGGCATTCCAAAATCCAAGCTTGCTTTTAGCGTCAGTGTATAAATAATAGCAAGAGGAATCATTCAAGGTCCATCCATCTAGACAGTTATCTATTGAAACAAAAAAATAACCTTGCTTTACCAGATGTCAGTAAAAACAGATGCGCCGCTTAGCTCATAAGTGCGAGCTCAGTGTAACTTGTGCTTAAATGTCATTTGGTAAATGGTGAGAAGCACAAAGGGTCCTGAAAGCTGAGTTGTGGGGGAGAAATGAAAGATCTTGATCCATTTTCTGGGATACCATGGAATACTGAGATAATGCAACAACGAGAGGAAAAAGGACTTGTGTGAGAGAAAGGTCGTCGAAATTATGTTATTTTTACGGTAAGCGGTTATGTAAACGGATTATTATCAAGTTCATCTTTGACACTTTATTTATTATTACTTCTATTGCACTGTAGGAGAAAGATAACAACTTCTTTAAAAGTGGTGGTTTTTTTTTCAAAGGTCACCTCGCGATTTGTGTATCGGTCCTGATGATAAGTACCCCCCCCCGCCCAGTGAAATGACGTAAGCAAAGAAAAAAGTAGTCGATACGTGATAAAGTTACTTTTGTTGTCCCCTGGTCGACAACATAGACTGGGTGATTGTTTTTCAGCTTATGAACTCTCAATGAGCCCATGCTTCTGGAGGAGAAAAAAACTACTCATCGATTTTCTTTGTAAAGGTGGTAACACTCTCTCTTTGCCACTTTATTTTTTTTTTAAATATTTCGATTCTTTTGAGTATGGAAAGAATGGTAATAAAATTGTAAATGCTAATAAATGTAAAGCCAGATTCTAACTTGGAGTCAGTTTATAGTTGCATCTGTAAGTGTGAAGCAGTGTTACTACAACAAACAGCAACAGTAATTTCCTTTTGTATAAGTTCCCTTTAGGGTCTACTTTAGGAGAACTCTCGAAACTAACGAAAGTCTGGCAAAACATATTTTTATGCATTATTAACGAAGCATTCAGTCTGTGAATAGAATTTCGTTGCTTTATTTTAGGCTATACAGGTTTTGCTCTTCTTGTACACTGCACTGAGTTAAACTAGATAATTATTACTGAATATTTCCTCTGTAAAGCTTCTTCATTCTGTCAAGAAATTATCCAAGCCGTTCAAATGAACTCTGCCAAAAGTGCTCTTCGACAAGTACTTGCCCACAATATCGAGTAAGGAGCGGCTCATGTAAATGAATAACTAACCGACTCTGTTTCATGATTGTTGCAAATTGTTGTGGTGATACTACTTCCTTATATTCACCCTTCTTTCTGTTCACCTCTTGCTTAACAACGAGATAAACCTGTCGTCCCTCCTTCTGCTGTTGTCGCACTAATCAAGTTACAATTAAACGTCAAGATCCTTGAGAGACCGTCTGACTGATGCAAAGACTTACCTTGATTGCTTGATGCCTGTCCATGGCAGACTAGTAACATCACAATTGCTGTAGTCAGGGTTTTGGTAAGGAACAGAAAGCCAATCATCGTAAATACCGGCAAGATCGAGTCGGAATTTAGCTAATCAAGTGAATTCGTTTGCTAAACAAAACTTTTCCCCCCTGGGGGTCCCTCAAATCAGCATGGTGGCCTCCCTTGCCGATCAGCTGGCTCACTGTGTATTCACATTCCAGGTTTGAATTAAGATTGTTCCGTAAACTTTAAATGATTGTCTGATCACTCGTGATGCCTGTCACCTCCAAAATAGAAACAAATAAACCATTTCTATTCATCTTGACCGTTCATGTTAAAACATCTAAATTGAGCGCAAAATTTCATTATGTTCGGTTCATTATTCGCGAACATTCGAATTTCACGCTATGAGACGGGAGACAATTCCATTATTTTTAGGTTGTAGTGCCGTCGATCACTCAACTGATTAAATTTTAAAAGCAGCTGTACTTTGGACTGACTGAGTAATGATAATTTTAAAAAGGGGTTGAACATAATGGAACATAACGTGGACTTAGCTAGTACGTAGAGTTATGAAAATGCCCAAACCCGACTGAACTTTCTTTGAATGCAATCAGTACGACAAAGCACTGAACAATGAATCTTTACTACTTCACATTTTAAAGACGTCATATAGGAAACATTCTCAACGGCCCTGGAGCCCAAAGGATCCTCACAGTTTGGCTATACTACCGAGAAGGAACATTTTTGGTCAAATAGAAGAGTCAGAACGAGTGAGACCAAGTGCGAAACGAGAAAAAATAGTTTCGAAACGTTTTAATTCTTGTATATTCTGCCCATTTATGTTTGTGGCAACAATTAACATTTTCAACTCTTGGAGTTAGAATAATTTGAAAACAGCTTTGAGATGTTCTACAGGGAACAATGCACTAAGGCCAAGATGTTCCACAAATATTTTCTTCTCATTAGCAACCTGAAAGATAAGAAACATTGCCCGCGTTTGCTTTGTGGCAATTTGTTTGAGTTGCTACGATACAAACTCATTTGAAGCTGACAATTGAAATTTCTATTTACTTAAATGTTCTTTGTTTGTTTTTTAGGCCTGGATTCGATCCAAAAAGTTTGCTGATAAAGGTGTCCAGATACTTCACAAATCGACAGCGGTTTAGCGTGATCTGTACTGGCTAATCGACAACGATATTCGTGTCCGAAACAAATTTTGACCGCTGCTATGACGAATATCGAAGTCGACAAGAGTACAGTCCACGCTGTCGATTTGTTTTTTAGCACAATATCGAAGTCGAGTAAATCGATGTTTGTGGAGAGCTGATAATGGCATTGAGTGATACGTTGACGAGAGCATCGTTGTTCGTACTCTTAACGATAACGGCAAATTGGCCAATCAGATTGCGTCATTACTACCACTTGTGGTGCAAATGATTTGTAACCGTGTTCAATACGGTTAACTCAGTTAAGTGCGTAAATAGGGCCCTCTAATCTCCTAAAAGGCTTCCTAACGACCTGGGCCGGGTTGTTCAGAGGTGAGCATGCTCAAAGGCTTCCTAACGACCTGGGCCGGGTTGTTCAGAGGTGAGTTAAGATAACCCACAATTAGTGTAAAATTGGATTTCTGATCTGAAAGCTTTAAAGAAAATTCAGTTTAATTCAATTTGTCTACAATTTGATGATCGAGTGCTTTAACAAGAATTGGGAAAATAATCCCAAAACGGTCTTTCAACAGAGAAATGTAGAAACTTGGATTAAGATTGAACCCTGGGTCAGCCCTTATCGGCCTTCGAACAACTGGGCCCTGATTGGATGACGAAAAGGCCTTAGTTGACCCCCTCCCGCCCAACTGAAAAAAGATTTAGTGCTACACGTCTATACTCTGGAACTCAGCATTTGCCTTTTCGCGCAAAACGAGCTTAAATTGTGCTTAATGTCTCTTCCATTTATACTACATAGCTATCTCTTAACACCATTGATCCTGTCTGTTTTCTTTTCAAATTTTTGAAAAGTATAATTTCCAGAAAAAGAGGAACAACAAAAATCACAAAAAAAAAAACTTAAGGCTCTTATTCCAAAAGTAACGGCAACGCTACCCTCTCTCGCCAATTGTATTCTCTTTTAAATAAAATACTTCAGCCTCCTTAACTTTTGAATTCACAATGAACATTCATTCCCACAGAACAATTTTCAACTAATTGTTTTTCGCTTTCCTCTTTATCTGACTCTTTACAACAAACAGTAAATGGCTTGGCCTTCCAGTATTCTTCAGTTCCACCTTCCGGCATAATTCAGTTTGGCCTCCCAATCTTAGCTTATTCCAGATCATCTGGTTCCTTTTTGTCACAAGAGACAGGTGTCACTACTGATAAATAGCATTTGAATCAACTGCTGCATGATGTTCCTTGACAGCCAACCATATTGCAGCAATATCGTTGTTAGTCAGTTATAAAAAGCTGGTGGACAAATTCATGCATGAGATTGAGATCCTTCCACTCCTGTACACGCGAGGGATGCATAGTGAATTCCTGAATTACGTCTGCGGTGAATCAAGCGGTTTTTTGTGCTGAGGTGGATGCACCATTTTTAGAGACCACTCTGGTTCGTTTAAGTCTCCGCCAATGACCCGTGTCATAATTCATTTCAAAGAGCATTTCCACCAACTGCATCTGTTGATTGCCGTCTGGTAATGTAACAGTTTCCGTGTTTTCACTCAGCTTGATAGTTACTATGGAACCTTGATGGGAATATGGTTTCTCTGCAATCAAACAAGTTTGATAACAGGATGAATGTAACAGTAAGCGTACATCCCGCACACTTGCAGCGAATAACAAGCTTTTGAGGGCTGAAAATTTCATCGATTCGACTTATTTTACACTCAGGAATCACTACAAATACATCGTTTATTTACCTCGAGCACCGGCCATAAACCCAAGAATAAGGGCCTTTTCAGCGCGACTCACTCGGTTCGCATTCTTGAACATTTCATGAGCTGCTAACATTTGTTCCCGCTGAAAAATAAATTTGAAAAGAATAAAATCTGAATTTCCAATAAGGAATTTCACAGAAACAAGTGAAGATCTTAAAAGATCCTGGGCCACATCTTTACAGACAAGAGTCCCAGACAAGAGTCCCAGACAAGAGTCCCAGACAAGAGTCCCAGACAAGAGTCCCAGACAAGAGTCCCAGTCCGTACTCACCAGATTACCACGACGTATGCAAAAATCTCCGAGATCATCATAGATTACTGATAATGCGCAAAAGCCCTGTTCAAGATCTTGAGGCTAAAGAATAGCTGAAGTCTATATCGATCCTTCGAGGACATTATAAAGTTTTTATCAGGCTGCGCTTCGTGTGCGTCGTTTTTGTTCTTATCACATTTTGACGTCCTCTGCGATCTATTACCGTACAAACGTACGGCAACATGAAATCTACTTGTTTCATTATTTCAGTTGGTATTTGGAATCAATTTATTAGAATTTAGCTTATTAATTAATTAATTAATTGGTGGTAAAAGAACGCCCTAACTACACACAGTATATGCTAAATGAACCCAAGGCCTCACAAGGTCGCAAAGTGTTACCACTTGTTCCGTTCTTTATGTAGAGCGCACGTACCGTTAGCGTAAGTTGCCGTTTATTTGCTTGCTGTTGCTGCTGTTGTTGTGTATTCGATGCCCCAGGGGAAGGTGCTGCAGCAGGACTTCTTGTAGAATCACTAGCAGCTGGTGATGTAGAACTTGAAGAACTAGCGGCCATTGCAGCAGCGGCTGCCTGTTTTTGTTGTCGCTCTCTCATCATTAACTGGCGCTGTTGTTCCATGTGCATCTTCATATAAGAAAGCACATCTTTAGTTTTGCATGTACTCAAACATGTTAAGGTAAATCAAAATTGTTTCCAAGGTAACAAAACAAACAATTAGAAAGGAGTCTTACTTCTAACTCTCTCTTGAGGTTAATGGTGCTCTCACTGAGTGTATCTGCTGCTGCTGCTGCTGCTGCTGCTGCTGCTGCTGCTGCAGGGGCTTGGGAAATGTTTGAGGCAGCCTGGGGTACATATGACGGAGCTGATGATGGAGCTGGCATGCTTGATGATGGTGTCTCTGGACTTGAGGGTGGCTTTTAATGCATGAAGTAAAGCGAAAAAAATTAATGAACAGCAAGATGCCAATTGAAGATTTTGATAAAAGGCAGGGCGCACATGAACACGTAATTGAACACATGATCACTTCTTGAACTGATTATTTTATCAAATCAAGTTTAATGTGCTAAGACAACACGCAGACTTGAAAATAAGAAGTACATGGGGACTAAAGTAAGACAACATTTGCCTATGGAAAGAAAACAATGTGAGAACAAATAGCTTGTACCTGTACCGAGGAAGAGTAATTGTAGAGGGTGTCCTTGCAGTTTATGTCAATTGCAAAGTTAATCACATTGTACAGTAACATGGCCTGTTGAATTTGACTAATCTCGTGAGTGTTCTATTTGACAGGTTTAATTGTGACCTATGCAGGCATAAACACGTTTGAAGATTTGAAAGGTGAATGTACAGTACCTTGGTTGGTTGAGTCATGGGTGTTAGACCTGCAGCATAATCAGGTGTGCTTGGTTCTGGAGGTTTAGTATTGTTGTCAAGTTTCTTTTGTTTTGCCTCCTCTGCTTGTTCGGACTCTATTGTTGATAACGTCATATAAACAAAAGTTCATGATCATAACTCTAACAAACAGAAAAATTAAAAACAGAGAAAAATCTCCTCTCAAGATTGGTTCATCCATGAAGCCACCCATAGCCTCGCATCTGATAAAAATGTGTACCTTTTAATTCAAATCCTTTGAGGCATTGAAATTCTCGAGTAAAACTGAGAGTTAAATATTTTTTTGCGTTCTTGACTTTTCTAACGAAACTTGAAAAGTGCGTACTTGCAGGGTAACTGTGTAAGTGCTTTTATTACCTGCCAATTTCTTTCTCCTTTTGAGTTCTCTACCACCTCCTATTGGCTGTTCATTTATATCCAGAAGCTGTTGGCATAAAGGGAATTATCACATGGTTTCTTTTTAATTTTTTGGGTGATCTTTCGACTGCTGTAA